TACATCCACAGCCTTTTTTATTTTTTATTTTGAGACAGAGTTACAAAATAAGAGCCCAGGTAGGGCTGTGTTACAGTTTGTGTCTATACCTCCCCTCAAAGCCTCATGTAGGCATGGGGGACAGGCTTTTTCAGGGGTGGTTGAATCTAGAGTTGGTGACAGATCTGTGGTACAGTGCTGGGATTAAGGGTACTAAGATTAAGGCTGGGTGATTGCTGGATCACTCCGCTGACTGGATTGGCACTATCCTAATCCCAGGAGTCTGGATAAGATAAAAGGGGCAGAAAGAGTCTTACCCCTCTCTCTGCCACCCTGCCTTGGAGCAAGTATGTATGGACTGAAAGCTCTACAAACTGTGATTCCAGTAAGCCTTTTCTTCCTTAACACTGTGTGTTGGGTATTTTGCCTCAGTAATGAGAAAAGTAACTAAGACAGGCTCAGACTTGCAGTCCTAATGCCTCAGCCTCCCAAGTGCTCAAAGTACATTCATGTACCACTGTGCTCAGCTTTTATATTCTCTAATTTTTAAGCACTTGTATGATTAGATTGAGCCTGCTTGGATAATCCATCAAAACATCTCTAACATGACAGCTGCAAAAATCTTTTTGCCATGTAAAACAGCGTATTCATAGGTTCTGAGGATCAGAGCATGAATATCCTTTGGGGGCCATTATTTGGTTAGCACACCTTCACTCTAATTCTTGTAACCAGCAAGAGAGAAGCCCCACAAAACATGCTATAACTTAGTATTTCCCTTTTGCACAAGTGCCGTCTTATTCCAGCCTTGTCAGTTTACCAATCTCTTTTCCCTCACTATTACACATTTTTTCAATCCATTATCACAATTGATCTAGTTATCAATCCAAGGACCTTGCTGGTCTGTCAGTCTTTCTGTCTCCTGAGCTCTGGATGGAGTGCCTGAAAGTAAATTTGGAAGCTACCACTGAATCAAGGTAATTCCCCAACAAAAGAACTTTATTCTTCACACACACACACACACACACACACACACACACACACAGTGATTAATTGTAAATGAGAAAATAAGCAGTCATCTACTTTTCCTGGAATGAACCAGCCTATTTCTCAAACAATAAAACTTAAAATTGATCAGTGAAAAGGTTAACATGAATGCTGAATAGATGGAGTGCATGCAAAAATCATTTTTAATTCAGTAAAAATAGAAAGCAGAGGGGCTGTTGCTTGAATGGCCAGGAATGATAACTTTAATCTAAACTTGGGATAGAAACTGCAGGCCAAAAAAAGGTCAGCTTCAAAGCAGAAAATGGTTGGGACTAGACAAATAATTTTTACATTTTACAGGGAGAGAGCAAGAAGTCCTACTTTAGGTCCATTCTGAGTCTCATTGTGTGGGTGGAGTTTTTCACGCCTCAGGTAAAGTCTTGTTTTTAAAGCTAGATCCTATTCTTGATTCCCATTATTTGCCTCGGCACATTAATTCAGCAAAGATATCTGGGCACCTCTTATATGCAAAGCACTGTGTTGCACAGCTTAAACCTCGCTTTTGGAAAATAAAAGCTGAAACTGCTGACTGTACCATAAGAAGTTTTGCATGATCCGGCTCCTGCCAGCTCTTCGGCATGTCATATCAGCCTATGGTGCCATTCCACTGTTCAGACGCCCTAAGTTATTTCTGTTTTTATGGTCCTTGCTGTTGCTTGTTCCAGAATGTTGTTTTCAAGTTCTCTTCTGGGTTGACTATACCTGTGTCCTGAGTTAGGTGTCTGCTCCCAAGTCACTTCAGAGAGGCCTTCTCAGGTCATGCATCTAAGGTATCACCCCAACCATGCATCAGCAATACTTTATTACATCTTCCATTGTGATTTGCAATAACTTTGCTCGTATACACTAAAATGTTTATTCTTTTCTTCTTCTTCTTCTTCTTGGTTTAGCAGAATGCAAACTTCATGAGAGATCACCAGCACCTAGAACTCACTGTTTTGCACATTTTAGATAATAAATCTGAATGAATAAGTGAGTGAATAACTGAATGAGTATAAATATGAATTAAATATACACTCTGGTAATGCAGTAGAATTTTTTTGAGATAGGGTCTCACTATGAAGTTTAGGTTGTACTTGAACTCACTTTGTAGCTTAGGCTGGCCTCAAACTCTCAGCGATTCTCCTGCCTCAGCCTCCCGAGTGCTGGAATTATAGGCATGCACCACAGCCAGCTAGTGTAGAATTTATAATTATGAGAAATCTTATCTGTACAAAATTGAAAATGGACAAGTTACTGATGGTACATGTTTGTGGTTCCCAAACTGTAGGTCAAAATACATTAGAGGATTTCAGTGAAGGCATAGACGTGCAGCTCAGTGTTCTAAATGAACAATCATAGCAATACTCTCTATGGAGCTGACACCATGCAAACTACTAGATCAACGTAGTTCATAGTTTCAACACTAAATCATGCCCTTGTTTATGAATTCACACCTTTGTGAAGCTGGATTTCCTATGGTTGCCATGATGAAAAGTAAATGCCATCAGTGTGGAGTGTGAAATTAACCTGGCAGTATCCAACATGATTTCAAGATTTGAGAAATTGCATATTGTTCAACAAAAAATGGTCATTAAGAGTTAAACTCTCTGGTAACTATATTTTAAAAAGTGAAAAGAAGCAAGCAAAATTTGACCCAAGTTGTTCACAGGTAATGAATAAAAAATAAAATAAGTTTTAGTTAGTTTGTGGCTATTAAGTCTTCAGCTCAGATCATCTTTTCTTCTGATACACGGCAGACGCACATGGCCCATAGGTAAAGGGTAAGCAGAAGTGCTGCTCTAGAGACAGAAAATACATGTGCAGGAGGCCTGGTCCAGAGCAAAATTCTTATCAACCATCTTTATCTCACAAAGAAAAAAAATGAGTCAAATCTTACTACAAATAACTAATAAGTGAGTAAAATTTAAGAGTGTCTAAGATAAAAGATTATCTGCATTTGTAACAAAATGATAGTCTCAGTGATTTCATATTTATACATCTTATAAAATGACATTCTTTTCAGGAGACAAGTTATTTAAACACACAGTACTGCATGAAGTAAACTTTGGATAAGTATTGACTATCATTACTAATACCAATAAGGATATATCAGTTTATTAATATCTAAGAGTCTAAGACAAAAAGATAGCATAAGGGTACAACAACCCAGAAGTCATTTTTTAGAATCTTTCTGGTTAAAAAACAAAACAACCAAATAATTACAAGTTAGCATATATTTGAAGATTCAATGTAGAAGGTGAGTAGAAAATTAAACATTTCTTAATCAGTTAAAAACCACTGAAGTTTCTGGGCCTTATAATTTTATGTGGTCTTGAGTGTCTCAAAAAGAAGCACCCCAAAATATCTCTACTGCTTTGATCAAGACTACTCAGTCTTTTCAACCAGGAATTTTTAGGAGTTTGCTGTTATTTATATTGCCCTCATTTATGTTCCACTCAAGGTGGGGGGAGATATCTTGTGCTAATAGTTTATTTCTACATTCTCTATTAGGAAATCCCTTCCATTACCCTGGCTGTCTTCCCTCCCACTTAGCCAGGAATGTGGCCAGGGTGACCGTCACTGCCCTGGTTAACACAGAGTAGGATGCCCTTCAAGCATGAGTTAATGCTAACCTTTGTAAGGATGTATTTAACCTCTTAAAAATCCTGCTAGTTTCTAAAATATTCATTGTACTGAAATCAATAAATCACTGAAATCCCCACTGGGAGGGAAACTTCCTGAGGTCTCAGAGGCCAAGCTAGAGTGGAACTAGTAAACATCAGTTTCTCACAGACATGCAATTAGAACATCTGTTTGTGTCTTCTATGCCTGTTAAGATGTTTACTCTGTTAATTGTAGGCATAACATGAGTATCCATCAGTATTTTTGTTTTCACTCCCACCATAGGAATTCAATAACAGAGTCCTAACCCGGGCCAGCTACCTTGCCAGTCAATTAACAACTTGTCTTTTTAAAGAGAATATAAGAAATGGCACTTTGTCGGAGGCAAATGATAGGTGGTGAAAGACAATCCTGGGAACACTTGCAAAGGTTGCAATATGAACAAATCTATTTCATCAGTGTGATGTTTAAATGGTTCTGAAGTTTCACGATTGTGTTGATTATGTCCAAAAAAAAAGAGCCACCTCTGGGATCCAGGGACAGATTTTGAGCTTCTGCAAGAATTTTAAATATTCAATTCATTAGCCTTTCCAGCTGTGCTGCTAATTTTCCAGCTTGGGTTTTCCTATGTGAATGAGTAGTAATTTTCTTCAATCTTAGACTGTTTCTAAGATATTTCTAAGATATCTAATGTCCATTTCTACAGTCTTACACTATTAGGAGAAATAAAGAAATAACACATTAATTGCCTCAATTAGAAGCTACTTAAGACAATTGATTACATTTTAGGAAATGATTTACATTTTTAATTACACAAGATAAATAAATCCATGAAACTAAACTGCCTGTAAATTGTATAATACTTGTGAAAATTAATTATATGAATCAGAATTGTATCCCATAAGACATAAAAGATATTTAACACTCAGTATTTGGATTTCAGCTGTCTGTGATATTGTTAAATGCATAATCAGTATTTAATATATCCATTACTTAGAATATCCCCATTTAACATTTAACTTGTTCCTGGTCACAAATATGATTACATAATAATAAACACATTTATAAAATCTTGAAAATATACGTAGGGTTTAAATTACACAAATTTATCTATCAAACAATCCTTGTACTGTTTCATGAGGAATAAAAATGTAGTTTAATTTCATATTGTTTCCAGTCATTATTTCTGCTGTTAAGAATAAAGTCAGTGACCATGAATAATCACTGCAGAATGGAAATAAGAAGCCGGGGTATTTATCCATGAAACCACCTGCTGCGTCCCACAAGTCTCTGAAGCACACCACTTGTTGAGCAGTATATTTCTATGTCACCAGTCCTGCAAAAGAGGAAATGACAAAGAACATAATACTCACCTGAAACTGAAGTTCAGGGTAGATTTCATATCCACTGTTTAAGTGGGAATTTCTGAACTTCCTCAGTGGTGAGCACAACCAAGGTTAAACTTCATTTGCTAAGTGTTCTGCCAAAAACAATTATTTTCCAAACATCTGGGAACAGTCTTTTGCCTCCCTCCTAAAACCTTGAAAAATAAAGCTGAAACTTGATGCAAAAATTTTATGACAATGACCGCAGAACAGATATTCTCCCTACTAAAACTATCTCTGCAGGGCTTTTCCTCTTCATAAAATACCTTGGACTGTTCCAGCTAAAAGATGTTGCCTTAATAAGTTCCGTGGAAACTGGCCTTAAGCACACCTATCTTACCTCCCAGATTCACTGCTATTCAGTCCAAACTCGGGGGGCCTCAGTACCTTCAAAAGTTTCATTGATGCTTTGTCCTTACAAATAGTATATATTCTGTACTAAAACTTGATTGGGGGTTGGATCTTAGAATGATTTCTGCATTCCCTATTGTTTTTATCTCAAATCACAAATGAGAAAGAGAGAAAACCTATGTCTGTAGGTGTTTGTCTTGTTCATGTTGTGGCATTCAACAATTCCAGCACTCTAGGAAGCTGAGGCAGGAGGATCACAAGTTTGAATTGAACCTGAGCAATTTAGCAGCTAAGCCAGACCATGCCTCAAAATGAAACATAATAAAAAGCACTGGGACTATAGCTCAAGGTGAAGACCCTGCTTTCATTTCCTACTAACACACACACACACACACACACACACACACACACACATGACTTACAATCATGACTTCCTTAGTCTCATACTCTTAGCCACTACCCATCCAGCCTCTTCATAAAAAATTCAGCACCTACTTTAAATAACCACTGAGGAACATTTTTACTGGAACTATAACCAGAAAGAAAACAGAAATTTTCCAAATAAAAGTCATTACTTGAATGATGTTGGAAAAACTTCCATGAAAGTTTTGTGTCATTTTTCAAATACAGGTGTGAATTTTAGGGGAAAAAATATATATGCAATGTTTAACATGAGTTACAAAATTTGGCTTTATGCAAAAATTTATGTGATATTATATTAATATTAGTTTTACTATATCATATTAGTTTTAGTATTAGTAAATTAGAATGCATAAAAGTATCTGTGAGCTATAAATCAAATTTACCTAATAAGATGTTCCTGCTGCAAACCTACAAGTAAAACTATATGCCTCAGAGGACACACCAGAGGATACAGCCGTGAAACTGAATTATGAATTATATGACTGAGTCAATTTATAATGAAAACGGGTCAGACTTCCTGTAGGCTAATCTAGTACGAATTTGATAACAAAAATATAATTTTAAAAATTGTAATAATTCTGATTGGTATAATCTAGATTTCATCAAGACTCATTAGTTTTGAAAGCATTAAGGTTATGATCACTAAATTAAAGAACATCAAGATAATCTACTAAATGGTCTTCAAAGTCTCTGAAACTATCTCTAACAAATACATGGTGAATTATATGAAATTTGCCAGGAAAAAAAATAATAACTAGTCCAAGACAAAATTAAGAAAAACAGTGTAACCCCACCAAAAAAGAAAAAAAAGGAAAAGCAATGTAGAGTTCTGAAACATTCTTGTATAGATTTTTGTGATAATACGGAAGAAGAATCTCAAATAAAGATGCAAACTTTCTAGATGAAATCTTCTATTCCCAATAACACTGTGCATTATCAGGCCCCATAGAACAGTTGTCCACCTGTAACACATAGCAGCTTGAACATACTGTGATCATCGCACTTTTGATGCTTATCTTTTCAAGTGAGGAAATGTTCTGTGTTCCTCCTAAATTAGCTCATAAGTCCATTCAGGACAATAATCCACATGCCTCATTTTCTCTCCAATGTTAACACCTCGTATATAATTGTCCTATAATATTTGTTGGCTTGCACTAACTCCAACTAGCACAACTTTTAAGCACAGGGAAAATCTGTCTCACTTTTTTCTTATGTATTTATACACTAAGGGAAAGTGCATATATATATATATATATGTGTGTGTGTGTGTATGCATGGAAAGTGTGTGTGTATGTGTATATTAGTTACATACAAATTACATAAACATTTATATAGAATACATTTATAATTTGATACATATATAAAATTATATATATATATATATATATATTCTCTCCACAGTTTAGAGTGGGGAGATTATTTCAAATATTGATAGACATTTTGAAATTTCCTGTGGCCAGATATCAAAGTTCAGATTTTAAATTTCAGACCCAAGACAATGAAAACAAAATTTCAAAAGACTGCTTTCTTAGCAGCCCTCCCGGAAACCGCAGTGTGGTGTACTGAGAGACTGCTGCAGTATTCAAGTTCTGCTGGGGAAGAAGTTACAGCTGCATTTATTACAATGGTATTTAAAAGGACAGTAAAAAGTAAACAAAAAAAAGCAGATAGACCCTCATTAAGATTAAAAACTCGTACCTATTTGAATGAAATATGAGATAGAATGATGACAGCCCTTGTATGTGCCACCCCTGGTTTTGAAGTACATGGAAAAGGCTGGTTTAAGATTACAAAATAATTAAAAAGAAATTCTGCCTATATATTCTAATTGAGTGGTGTTTTCCAGACCTCTGGGGAGTAATCCATATGGTACAGTGTGATGAAGCTGGGTAAAATGTTGTCTGATGTGGCAGGCAATGGGTGTATGCATTGAAAATCTTCTAAAATCATTTTCCTTTACAGGTCTAAATATAACTTATTCATAAGCATTCAACTAAAAAGAATCAATTACCCATGTGATTGTGTGTTCTTTCTCCCTGAGTTCTTTTAGTTTTTCCCCTGTCTTCTACTTGTACAATGTACAATAACAGTACTAGGGTGAATGGTCACCTTGGTAATGTACCACTCTGCAGCAAAAAAACTTTCCCCCACAGGGCCCTTTATGATTAGCCCTTGAATTTACTGAACCTAAAGGATGGCCAGGGGCATTTTTATTTGGTCAAATGCAGCAGCTCCTTTTCTACACCTAACACAATCCTGCTGCATGATAGAAAAAAAACCAACAAACAAAAGTAAAAGATTGTCCCATCCAATAAATATTATCTGGCAGCAAGAACCTAAAAGATAAGCAGTTTTTGCTGTGATAATGTATACTTGATGATAAAATTTAATTTGCTTTTGCAATTACTCTCAGTCCCCCATATCAAACTTAAACCCTAGTTAATAGCATATGTCCAACTGCTACCCTCTCACATTCTGATACATTTAAATCTTCTCAAGAAATATATTATAAAAAGGTCACACCAAAAAAATCGTGACTTCGTATATACAAAATTTGCACTTTTAAAGTCATTAAATGTTGAATTTTATTCAAATAAAAATAATCTCTGAGAGATTTGTATGATGAGGTATGTTTAGGTAACAGATAAAACCAAAAAACAAAACTTTGATGTCTCAAATTACACATATTTTATGCATAGCTGATCACTTTCCAGCTTACTTTCTGCCCCCAGGAAGCTATTTTGAGTAGTAAACTCACTGAAAGATTAAGTGAAAGATTGAGTTTTACCATGAATTCTTTCTTTACCTAGATTCTTCTCTAACTCCTGAGAGGTATCCTGGTATGATGCAAGTAGAAATGCTCTTAATAGTTTGTTTTTTATAAAATTTTACTTTATTAGATAAAGAATTTATATGAATAAAGTATAATCAAAGGCTACCAAATATTAATATTTATTACTGTGGCAAACATTTGTTTCAATTTTATGGAAAATTCTCAATTTTCAACAGTCTGTTCTGTGGTTCCCATAAGACAGTACTGATGTTTTATAACATATAGTAGTTCCCTGTAATCCAAGGGAAACATTTCAAGACTTCCAGTGGATGTCTGAAATCAGGTATGCAGAGAGTACTGAGTACTTACACATGCTACCTTTTTTCCTATACCTGCACAACTATGATAAAGCTTAATCTATAAATTAAGTAGAATAAGAGATTAGGAACAATAGCCAATAATAAGATAGATACAGTATACTATATTAAAATAGCAAGTGTCACTGTTCTTACGCTTGGATACCGTGATGATGGGCTACTTGATCAGAAGCACGGTGACACCATGACAGTGGATCTGATGACCAATAAGAACAGCCTCCCCTGGTGTACCTGGTGGATGTGCTGTACAGCAGGAGAGTTCACCTCCCAAGCTGGATGGAGCAGGAGGGCAGGACGTTTCATTACAGGATCCAGAAGTTTCCACAGTTTGAAACTTATAAATCATACCTTTCTGAGATTTTCTATTTCACATTTTTAAACCAGAGATGACTAGAGGTAACTGAAACCTCAGAAAGCAAAACCACAGATAAGGGAGGACTACTGTCTATCTCAGTTTTAGACTCAGAGCAATCCCACAATCTCCCATTTCCCAAGAATGCTAAAATTCTTCTGTATTACATTTCCAAAAATAAAGTAAACTTTTAAAGAGCTAAGTGGTTTAAACATTCATGATCCCATGCCCTTTAAAAAGAGACTTTAAGTAACTTTTAAGGTTCATTGTCAGAGGAAAAGACTCCTTTGTGACCTATGAAGCCTCACGTTGAGCAAGGTTTGTGTTTTAAAATGGTATTGTCATGGAACCTCACCAAAGAAAATTCAGCCTGCAGAAAGCAGTTGGAGTAATTCATCTGGCCACCCTCGACCTTGCAAGGCACTCAGGGTCAAAGCTGCCAGCACCACGGCGACAGTGATACTTGAGCACAAAGGTGAAGAAAAGCCGGAGGCAAGAAGTGAAGCTTCCTCACTGCCTCGCAACCATCAGATGGAGACTGAATGTCTGGCTGAAGGAACTCATGCTTCATTTCCCCACGGACAACCGGTGCCCTGTTCAGAGGAACTCAGTCTGTCGCTGAAGTGACCTCTCATTGGGAACAGTCAACCATGCAAATCCTGAGAACTGCAGGGAACCCGGGAGTGTACTCACAAAGACCTCTCAGCACCATCAGGGACTCTCCCAGCCGGCTCCAGGACCAGAGAGGGCTGGAGAGACACCGGATGGCTAAAGCTCAAGCTAGAACTTTAATCTATGAGTGAGATAAAAACACACACGCATATGAGAGACAGAATACGTGATAAGTCTGTGATGTGGTCAAAA